CTCGCCTTCGGGTGTCCCGTGGACCTGGCTGCCTCTTCCTATGTGCGCCTGCCCGTGTGGGACAGCGCTGCCAGGGGAGCGAGAACGGACCAGCGCACCTGCAGTTACAGGCCTGCGGGGCGGGGGTCTCGGACCATCGCGCCTTGGTCACTGGAGCCATCAGGTCATTTAACAGCGTAGTCTCTGGGAAATCTCATGCGATTCACTGATTCTGGCACTAATGACCCAGTCTACGTGAGCATAGAAAGACCCAGTATCTGTCAAGTCTGTAAACTGACAGATCTTACGAGTATCATGCCCTTGAGAGCATAGCTTGGTACCATTGTCAAACCTGGGGTCTGGGCCGCCGGGGTGAGGACTGACTAGTCTCTAGATCTCGGGCTCCCAAGTCCTGGGAGGCTGTTTTCTTACCTTCGCTTGCTCCCTGCTCTAACGCGTTCAGTTCCCACTTAGTGTTCAACATCGAATGTCTGCTGCTAAACACACGTATGCAGTTCATCAGTGTCTTGTAAACACACGCTACGTTCTGGACATTCTAAGTACTGGAGACCCAAGGACGACGAAGACGCAGTGCTGGCACGTGGGAAGACAATCTCATACAGAGATAATTTCAGGTCAAATGACAGAAAGGAAGCTTAAGGCATGGTGCTTGGCCTCGCCTGGGGCTCTCTGCCAGATGAGATTCCACCGGGGAGGTGAAGGCTAACGAGGAGCTAGCCAGGTAAATAAACAGGGAGAAGAGTGGAAACGCCACACACAAAATCCAGATGTAAGCCAGCAAGTCACGCGGAGACGCTGCAGAAATCAATGCGGTGCAAACACGGGGGCGACGGGTGATGAGACAGGCCACGGGCCAGGCCATGGGCCAGGCCACAGACGAGGTCTCTCTGAGCTAACAGGAGGGCAGACCTGCAGGGGACATGACCAGTATCAGGGAGCCGTTGAGGGTGCTCTGGCAGTACCTGTCCTAGAGCAATGGAAAGGAAGAGGCGGTAAACTCGGGCAGGGCTCCGGTTAAACCGGCGGGCTGGTGAGGAAGAGTGGAGGCTGGGACTGAGAGGAAGGCCACGAGGCAGCAGAAGGCATAGAGAGAAAGCAAACCAGTGGACTGGAGATGGGCACAGCCTGAGAGGACAGACGTGCACCTGAGTTCTGAAGAGTTTGTGCTGCCTCTGGGATTCACGCGGAGATGGCAGAAAGGCAAGGCCTGCAGTTCGGGGCACTGGGATGTATCTGGGAGTGATGGTGTATTCAGAATGCTCCCTGACTGTCTTCGTCTCTTGAACACACACTGTGTCAGATAGACAAACTGGGAGGACAGCAACAAGCCGAAGATGGCCAGGCAGTGAGCTGGGCAGGGGGCTGGCAGCAGAATCTGGGCTGGCAGCAGAGTCGGAGCAGGCAGAGAGGTGGGCAGAGGGCTGGCAGCGGAGTCCGAGCAGGCAGCGAGGTGGGCAGAGGGCTGGCAGTGGAGTCCGAGCAGGCAGCGAGGTGGACAGTGGTCTGGCAGTAGAGTCTGAGCAGGCATCAAGGTGGGCAGAGGGCTGACAGCAGAGTCCGAGCAGGCAGCGAGCTGGGCAGAGGGCTGGCAGTGGAGTCCGAGCAGGCAGCGAGGTGGACAGTGGTCTGGCAGTAGAGTCTGAGCAGGCATCAAGGTGGGCAGAGGGCTGACAGCGGAGTCCGAGCAGGCAGCGAGGTGGACAGTGGTCTGGCAGTAGAGTCTGAGCAGGCATCAAGGTGGGCAGAGGGCTGACAGCGGAGTCCGAGCAGGCAGCGAGGTGGACAGTGGTCTGGCAGTAGAGTCTGAGCAGGCATCAAGGTGGGCAGAGGGCTGACAGCGGAGTCCGAGCAGGCAGCGAGGTGGGCAGAGGGCTGGCAGTGGAGCCCGAGCAGGCAGTGAGCTGGGCAGGGGGCTGGCAGCAGAGCCTGCCAAAGAAAACCCATGCTGAGCCACAGGTAGGACCACACAGAGGAGGCCAAGAAGGGAGGAGAGTCAGAAGAAAAGAAGGTTCAAGTGACAGACAATGTCAAGGAGAGCATAAGGTCTAGCAAGACCAGGCCTGGAACAGGTTAGCTGATCTGGCAAAGCAGAACACCTTTGCCAAAGTGCTTGAGAGGTGAGAGGGGACAGAAGTCAGAGCCAAGCCCAGACAAGAGCAACCAGTGCTGAGACAGAGACCGCAGCGGCCGGCAGGGGCACGGTGGGTAAGGCAGCTGACCCCACACGGCCAACTGTGCAGTTAGAGTCCCAGCTTGAAAACACACCAGGCCCACAGGTAGACAAGCCTCAAATTCCAAGAGGAGGGAAGGGACTGTGGCATGGTTATGCCCCTTGGGAGGTACTTTGTCACTTTCTCTCTCGCCCTCTGCCACTCTCTGGCAAGTATGTGCTCTCTATAGCAAAACAAAACAAGCTGGAGACGGCAAAGGACAGCACTGTTGATGACCACAGGAAATCAGCTATTTGAGATCTTCTATAACTCATTACTGGTGTGGCAGTTACTATCATGGGCCAGTTTGGCTGGGCCATGGTGTCCGGGTGTTTGGTCAAACTTACCCTGGTGTTTAGGTATGAAATTAATACTGAAATTGGTGAATTTTGAGTAGAGTAGATCACCCTCCTAACTTATCCTGTTAAAAGCCTTAATTTAATATAACAAAGACTGACCTCCCCTAAAAAGAAGTTCAACCAGCAGACTGCCTTTGGACTCAAGGTGCAACTCTTCCCGGTGCCTCCAGCCTGCCTGCCCTGCAGACGCTGGACTTGCCGAGCGTCCACAATCATGTGAGCCAGTCCGCTCTCTCTCTCTCTCTCTCTCTCTCTGACCACTGGGATGAATGGATTCATACATACAAGCATACTTACTTTCTCTCTACACCTGTATTTGTATCAAGTGTGTGTATGCATGTACACCTACACACACACGCACACACATCCTGGTTCTCATTTTCTGGAGAACCCTAACACAAATCCGTAGTGAGTGTTTGGATGAGTTTTCTGAATTGATCCTGGGGTTTCTGGAGTTCGTTTTCTGAGTGGATTAGATTCAAAGGAACTACCGACTCCATTTCTAGCAGCAGAGTGTGGCATGATGTGGCAATAGATCATGCAAAAATATCGCCACTGGCTACTCCTAACCAAACGCTTCTACGGGTGATGTGACCATGTTTATGATGCCTTTGAACATGTCTGACAGACTAACCAATGTAATGAGATTGCTGGTCGCTTTTGATGGCAGTGGGAGAGTGGAGAGAAGGCAGTAAGTTCGGGGATTCCAACTCCCAGTTGGAGCGCTGCATAACTGCCTGGACGACGTCGTGTCTGCCCCGAAAGAGATCCTTATCCTCGCGCAGAGCAGAGCAGAGGCTGCTGAAAACCAGACCCAGGATCTGATCCTGCAAGTGGCTGGACCACAGCACAAGCTGAATTCCCAGCTGTGCCGAGAATCCTGTTAAAGGGAAAGGACTGACTGGGAAGCAATGGGGCTCTAAAATTGGAATGGGGGCATGCAGGAAGACTCTGAAGTCGGTCACACTGAACCCCGAAGTTTTTATGAGTCTCATTTGCCAAGGCTTTCTGTCTCTATCTGAAAAGATGAATTCTGCTTTGCCCAAGGGAAACGAAAGGCCTTCCTGGGACGGCTGCCTGTAAAGACACTAAGAGAACAGAGGACACACACACACACACATATTTTTTGGAGAGATTTTTGCTATAGGGTGTGTGTGCTCAACAGAGAGACTGAAAGCGAGAAATCACCAACCGGGGGGGGGGGGGATGGCCACGCCACAATTCCCTGTCCTCCGTTCTCTTCTCAGGATTTTGGGCACACAAGCCACTGGGTCCAGGACTTGAACCATGATTGACTACGAGGGAGTCAAGAGGCGCAACCATTACGTCATTCGCTGGTCCCCACCTGATTATACATTAGTATCACCTTCATTTATTATTAACACATTCACTCATTTCTCTAGTGTACGAATGTGCATGCCAGGAATCTAACTGCAGAGGGACCTGCATGGCTCTAGGGAAGAATCCATCTCAGGAAGAGGGTCCCCACTGAGTGTGGAACAGACACAGTGTCACTCACTAAAATGGGCCATGCTGTGTCCTAGACGGAGGAGGGGTGGGAGTGAGGACCTGCAAGAACCAGACCACTGAAACCCCCGGGGAGCAGCTGGAGCACCAGGCGGCACAGCCTCGGAGCTGCTGGCACACATGGTACGGCCTGGCAGTGCGTCTCTCCCAGGCAGTCTGTGCCACGAGGCACCAGGGGTCCTGGCACAGACATCCCCACAGGAGGAGGAGGACAGCAGACAAGCTCTCTGTGAACAGAACATCCCAGGAGCCTCCCCCAACACGGGTAGACTGGGAAGGAGGAATTCTACAGTGCAGGAGTGTGGTCGCAAGCGTGGGCTGGTGCTGGGACCCCAATTCTGCCTTGTCTCAGCTACCTGACCTTAATAGGTTTCCCCACCTCTCTGAGCCTCAGGTTCCTCACGTGCAAAATTAATGAACAGTAACAACTGCACAGAGCTGTGTGTGTGTGGGTGGGGGGGGGTGTCACTGAGAGAATGCACGTACTTACTGAGCAGAGGCCTGGCCTGACACGCAGGAAGCAAAAGAAGTAACACAGACCTACTTCCTGCTGTGTTTCAGTTGCCAAAGGGCATGTACGCTTGAGAGAGAGCAAGCGAGAGAGGGAGAGAGGGAGAGATAGAGAGAGCGAGAGCAAGCACGCAACAGACAGACAGAGGTGCTCTCCAGGGGGGCAAGAGCACTTCACCCCATCGGCACTGGCACCTACGCCAACTGCCAGAACCAGGACTCCAACTGCGGTTGGCCACGAGGGCCGGGTTTCCTCTGCACAGCATCTAACCACTAAACAGGAGGCCAGCCTGTAAGCCCAGGCCTGTGCCCGAGTTCTGAAGAAAGGACAGGAGAGGAGATCCAGTGCTCCTCGCTGACTGCACGTCCCTCTCTTCTCTCCTTTGCCATCTAGATTTCAAACGCTCGGGCTTTTCCCCAGGAATTGGAGCCCTTCCACCATGTTTCATCCTCCCGGTGACGGCCCTGGAGGAAGGACACGGCAGGGACAACCTGAACTTGACCGCACAGCAGCTACACTGGAGCAGTGGCATCCTCGCTGAGCCAGGGCAGAGGGACAGCACCTTCTAACTCCATCTTTTCATGGGCTCTCAGAAGAAACGCACATTTATATCAAACTGACGTAACTCCACATCATGTTCTTCAATATTTGGAGGGAAAAAGAGTATGTTTCCTAATTTTGGAAAAAAGTATTTCTTAAATGAATTTTAACTGCACATAATAAACTCTTCAGATCCCAAACCCAGTACAGAACACGTTTACTGCAAGCTCATCAGTGTCTGTTCAGTTGATTATAGCATGAGATTAACGAGGCTCAGCTCAAGATTTGGAGCAAGCTTATCCACAACCATGTGTAAAATGGGAAAAGAAGCACTGCATTTCTAACCTGATCAGTTTAACCTAAGGACTGGGTACGATGTCTCGTCACTAACAGAAAACCATTCAAATACAGCCTGGGCAGCCTATCATGGTAGCCCAAGTACGCGGTTCTAAAGACACTCCTGAGTTTGGAAGGGGAAAAAAAAGAGAAAGTTACTAATGGAGAATTTATCAATAAAATCATTCTGGATAAAGGACTAATGGGGGTCAAAGGGAAATCGTAAGTGAATGAAACATTACAGCAGCCACATGTACTCAGCAAGACGATGAGTGAATAAAGGGGTGTAAGGGCCCAGGTGAATGGTCCCAGGAGACAATGGTGACTTCTCAGTTGAGACAGCTGACCTCTGCCTTCTCAGGGCAGCCCAAGCCTAAGGCCTTTGTCAGGACGGGACTCACATGGAGCACTTGGCAGGGCGAGAGTGGAAACGGACAGAAGGAATATTACTCACGACATGGAGGGGAGGGAGCAGAGGGAGGCTGAGTCACAGAAGTAAACTGCAGACAGACAGGAGGGGTGGTGACGAGCCTAAGAGATAGAGGGAGAACATGGATGGCAACGACGCACGGGATAACTCAATGGAACTGAAAGGGAGGGTTTCATGTGGCTCGTAAGTAAGTGGCGTGGTGGTTAAATGTGCTGGACTCCCACAAGGCTGACCGCAGTTCAAGTCCTGGACCTGGTGGCTTGTTTTCTCGTTTGCCCCCCCCAACCTCTGGTCAAATTGAAATAATAATAATAATAATAATAATAATAAAGTTTTTAAAAATTCTTTAAAAAATAATAAAGGATTTTATATGTCTCCTCCCAACACAAGTGATGACAAATGGCTGACAGGCCGGATGTACTAATGATCCTCAATGAACCACTACACACTGGACCCTTCAAGCTATACAAATCCCACAAATATGTACAGTTGCGTTAATAAAAACAGTTTTAAATTATAGTTTGAGACAGCCCTTCGGAATAACAGATTTCTAATTATCTTGTGCCCAATGGATCCTCACAAAAGGGAGAAAAAGGAGTACTCATGTATTTCTGTGATCTAGTTCATTCTCACAGATACCTGCTCCCATAGTGTTCCCTGTTTTCCCAGTTTGGGGGTGAGCTCCAGAGTCAACAATGAACATGGCTCTACAATAAACTACTTTTCCACTGCGCGTGCGCATACACACACACACACACACACACACACACACACGCACGCACAGATAAAAACATGTATTTGATGGTTTCATCTCTCACCAGCCTTAAGGTCCAAGACTCAGCCATATACTCTTAAGACCGCAGATGATACTTCAAGTTCTTCTAGGAATTAAATCCCCTTTGACAGGGGCTAAAGACAAAACAAATCTCTAATAAATTTTATACCAAGCAAACCATCTAATTTCCCCACTGATTGACTGAGGGAGAGTGAGTGCAAGAGAAGGCAGAGAGGGAATGAGCGAGGTGCTATGGACCAGGCTTCTGCAGGTCCCAGTGCACTGCCCAGCCTTCCCGGTTAGCAAGGATCATAGCAATGCACCACCATGCCGAGAGAGTAGAGAGGGAATGGGCGAGGTGCTATGGACAGGGCTTCCGCAGGTCCCGGTGCACTGCCCAGCCTCCTGGTTAGCCAGGACCACAGCAATGCACCACCATGCTGAGAGAGTAGAGAGGGAACGAGCGAGGTGCTATGGACAGGGCTTCCACAGGTCCCGGTGCACTGCTCAGCCTCCCGGTTAGCCAGGATCACAGCAATGCACCACTGTGCCGAGCCTGCTCGGGTAGGTCTGGGATCTAAACTGGGGCCTCCCACGTGGTCTCAGCCTCATGTAAGAGTACCCCACCATCGCAACTACGTTCTCCCTTTTAGAAAAATAGCAGTGGGTTCAGCAAGCTGAAATCTTTTAAAGGTTGAAGTACACACGAGATGTATGTCCTACATGGAGAATTTGAATTCTCAGATAAAAGTTACAACTTGAATGAAAACAATGGGCAGGCCCCAAAGGCTATTGCTTTAAAGGGAATAGGACCACACATGACCCACTGCAGTTTGGATCCTAATGGTGTGAAAACCACGTTAGTGCCTGTGTGTTCTCCAAGCCCTCGCAGGGTACAGATGGAGACACTGCGGTGTGACCACACCCCACTGGAGCGCTGCCTCCTCTCTGCCTTTCTCTGGCAGTGCACACACCCCCTAGCAAAAACAGGTAACAGAAATAGGCTTGGGCTCCAGCTAAAAGGTACTAAGCACTCAGGAGAGATGTGACTGTGGCTCCACTAAATTAGTTGCAGTAGGAATGGAAAGAAATGAGAGAAATATTTAGCAGGCAGGCCACCCTTTTGAAAAGCCAGGCATTTCCCTGTTAAGTTGCATTTTAAAATACTTAGCAGGAAAGATCAACCTTTAATGAAATCCTACAATGTATCCTTTGTAAGTTTAAAAAATATCTACTTAACTTGTAATAGAAGATAAGTAGTCTCCATTTTTTCAAGAATTACTACAAATGGGGACCAGTAGATGGCATAATGTTCACATCGATGGACTCCCACCTAGTTGACCATGGTTCAAGTCCCAGACCCGGTGGCTTAAAACTCATGCCAGGTCCATGTATGTGTGTGTTCAAAATCCCAAGAGGAGAATGGAGGAGAAGGGACTGCGGCATGGCCATCCCTCCAGGAGGTGACTTCTCGCGGTCTGACTCTGTTTCTCTCGTGAGTGCACACACCCTATAGCAAAAATCTCTCTAAAAAACCCCAAATACTACCAATTTTCATAGTAGGTGAATCATATTTCTTCAAAGCGGTTACTGTCAGGAATCTAGTCTGTTCTCGGATATTCACTATTTGAGTGTGACTTTTTATCCAACACCCCCACTAGAATCCAGGCTCCTTGCTGAAGCTCTACATAAAACAGTGCCTAGAGCTCAGCAGGTGTGCACGCAGTTGATACGTGAATAAAGACGTGGCGAATATTTGCTTTTAAATATGTCCATGTTTACTGTCTTTTGCTATGTCTTTATGTCTGCTTTAGGCAGCATCTGAACCTATAGTGAATCAGGTTCCTCCTCCTGGAATTAGAATAAAAATACACATAGATAGAAAGTGGTAGAAAAAAATACATATATACTTTATTTTTAAGACTAAGTTTTTATTTTACTATCTCAACATGAAGTAAATAAGTAAAAGGCTACGGGAATTTGTAATGAGATTTGGGGCCTTTTCAAAGCAGAGTTAGTATCTCAAGTATAAATTTGGTCAACAAGCATAAAAAAAGGAAAAATGGCCACATCGCTGGACTCCCATGTAGTCGACTGGGGTTTGAGTCCTGGACTTGGTGGTTTAAACTCACACTGGGCGCATGTGCGTGCGTGCCTAAGATCCCGAGAGGAGAATGGAGGAGAAGGGATTGTGGTATGGCCATACCCCCTAGGGGTTGATTTCTTGCTTTCTATCTCTCTGTCTCTGTCTTTCTGGTGAGCACATGCACCCTATAGCAAAAACTTCTCCAAGGAAAAAAAGAAAAATTCTATTCATAAAACAATGTTGCAACAAACATGATACAATATTTTAAATATATAATTAATAATTTCAAGATTATAATGTTTCAAGTAGTCTATAAATGTTAATTCTTTAAATATCTGAAGAAATATGGGACAGTAATTAGTTGAAAATTATCAGAAAATGTTTGTAATCACACTTGGAAAAATATTTATTTTAAAAAATTATTTATTTATTATTATTATTCAACTTGACCAGAATGACAGAGAGGGAAAGTTTTTTTAAGAGGGAGAGTGAGAAGGCAAGCTGCCAGGTCCGGGGCTCAAATCAGGGTTGGCCATGAGGAAGTCCAGCACCTTAACTACCATGTCACCTGCTGGTCCCAGATATATTTTTTTGATATTTATTGAACACTTACCGTGTGGCATGCTATATCTGACCTATGTCATGAAAACTACTAAAAGTCTGTTAAGAACATGCCTATGGGACCAACGGATGGTGGAATGGTTACATCACTGGACTCTCACGTAGTTGACCATGGTTTAAGTCTCAGACTCGGCACCTTAAAACTCATGCCAGGCACATGTATGCCCAAAATTCCCAGAGGAGAATGGAGGAGAAGGGACTGCAGCGTGGTCAATCCCCCTGACATGTGATTTTTCACTTTCTGTCTCTGTGTCTCTCTTTCTCTCTGGCAAGTGCACATGCTCTATAGCAACAGTCTCCTCCCCCCCAAAAAAGAACATGCCTATGCTTTGTTGCCATCTCACTAAATTTAGATGCTAAATATTTACTAGTAGCTCTCATGTTCGCCAGCACATGATAGGCAGTAGAGATACTTGCATAAAAAGATCTCTCTGTCCTACATTCTGATGGAGAAAAAAACATTATGAGGGAAGTAAACAAAAGGCTAGCTAGTGGTCACTGGGGGAGTCTCCTGGGATAGGTGGTCACAGAGCGTGCCCCGAACTAACTGGTGACTATGCCCTCTCCACAGCTCACTGCTTCAGTTCAGTCTGTCATACCATCTCCTGGGTTCTTCAGAGAGCCCTTTGGTTTCTCTGGCTCCAGCCTCACACCTCTCTAGCATGTCCTCCATGTCACAATAGACAGAGAAATCCCTCCTGGGCTTCGGAGTGGCAGACAAGGCCCTTTGTGAGCTGGTGCTCTGGCTGGCCCTCCTGTTCCCACTCCCGCCACCCCTCTTACCCTCTGACCTCCCCCAGCAAGTCTGCTCGTAACTGTTGGTGGATCGGCCCTATCCCAGGACCCACTCAGTTTCAACATCCCTCCCCAGGAGCCAGACACAGGTCTGAGGTCATGACTCCTCAGCTCCTATGGCCACCTTTATACCAAGGACTTCTCCAGGGCTTCATAT